CATGGCCAAGAAGCTGTCATCTTTCTTCTGCCTTGCTTCCAGATAGTGTTCCTGACCTAACCCTTGTGCTGCCTTCTACTCTGTAGACTCTTTTGTGGTTTCTTTTAATACAGTACCTGGGCAAGGTCAGTTTTATGCCAGGTTTAGTGAGCTAAAGAGGCTCACGGAAGAGTCCAGGTGCTGGCCAAAGGAAAGAAGCAGGAGTTCAGGACAAGTGGGGAAAATAAGGGAAGGAGAACTGGAACCTCTCCTTTCACAGCAACAAATTTTTAAGTTGTTTCATCATACATTATGTCTTGCAGAATCAGATCTTTTATAGCTTTGTTTTTAAAAATTGGTTTTTTTCAGACTCAAAAAGATAGAAATTGTTTTCTATAGCATCAGTAAATCTCCCCCTTTCAAACATTCTGTATGACAGAATGCCTCAAAGTGAGGCTTCAAGAACTTTTATCTTGTGAGCCAGTGTAAGAAAAAGCACAGAGCATGCCAGTTGACTGGGTTGGAGGTCTGTGCTCTACTGTAGTCACCTTTTTATGATTTCAGAGGTCCCACTTAGTGCGCTGTAACTTGGTTTGACATTTGCAAAATGGGGGGGAATGCCCTGCTACTTAAAACTTAGAGAGACTGTGAGAGGTCCATCTTCTGTGTTAATGAAGGGGAAATTGTCCAAAGTGTAAGATATGATAGATTAGGTGGTCTTCAGATGTCCCTTCTAGCACAAATAATTCAGTCAATCTGCACTCTACATATTGAATCTAAGGACCTTGGGCAGCCTTGTATTTGTCTTTCTTCACTCTGAAATGTTACTTGAGAAGGCTCTTAATAAAAGATCACAGTGGATAATTAGATATTGAAGTGGAAATTCTGAGGTTTGGGAGGGATTTCTCCATATAATTTTGATTCTTGTTGTGGCTAACATACTTTAGTTGGTGAAAATACACCATTGAATACTGTTCTGTGGTTACTGTGCAGATATTCCTCTTCTCCACCTTGGGAAACTAATCATTCTGTCTAGGGTGCTGGTCAGTGTTACTAAGCAATTGTAAATTGTCCAATAGGTTAAAATCCTCCCTTACTGGATATTTTTGGTTCACCTGACAAATGGTGTCATGTCTCTGACTTTAAGATAATAAATGTAGGAGCAGGGAAAGAAAGTCAAGTCCGTGGCTGCTTCTTGCAAATGGAAAAGTTTTGTTTTATTGCAAGTCAGCTGGGTGTTTTGGCTTCTAAGCCCTTGCTGAAAGAGAAATCTTGGATCAATAGCAGTGGAATGTTTGCCACCTGTTCCATCAATAGAGCTCTCTAGTGGATTTAAGGAAAAGAGTGCAGTTTTCCATTACACTTAACATTTCTGAGGCAGTTTCCATGTAATTTCTTTTACACGCATCATGTAGTTCTATAACTAAACTTGCACATCATACTGTCATGTCTACTGTGTATTTTTTTTTAACTTTTGTCTTAAATGTATATAATCTTAAAGTCAAACACTGATGTTTGAAATCCATTAATGTGTGTTTGGGTTTTTATTTTAAATTTCAATGCATCTCATTTTTTGGAAACTTGAAGTCACATAAGTAGCTCTGTAAAAAATATATTCTTTCTAATGATAAATTTTACAAGGGTGAATGTGTCTTTTGGGGGAGATAGGTAGCACTCGAAAGTATTTTATTATCAAAAGTGTTTGTTTTACAGAACTTTGGGACAACAATAGTGGTTAATCCTGAAAAGGACAAGGATATGGTGCAAGAGCTACTAGATTTTAAGGATAAAGTGGACCATATCATAGAAGTGTGCTTTCAGAAAAATGAAAAATTTATAAACTTGATGAAGGAGTCCTTTGAAACATTTATCAACAAGAGACCAAATAAGCCTGCAGAATTGATAGGTACACAAATATTTTTCTGTAAAATATTTCCAAAATCTATAGAAAGCATGATAAGGTAATGCTGCTGAGTGTGCTAGTGCAATAGTGAAGCAGTATGCATTCTGCTTTAGGAGACTTGGTTTTGGGATATGAGGCAAAAGTTTTAACCTGAGAGTGTTACGGGTTTGAAAAGCTTGGGTGTGCTGTTAATCATGTGTACAGTGTCCTGATGGAGCATGCCAAATTCTGCTGTCCCTCTGCTTCCTGCACAGTGCCTGATGCTAACAACTGCTCAGGGAGCGTAATGATGATGCTATGAGTGGAATAAATGGTTAAGGGGAAGAGTAGCTGTAGCAAAAGGAAGGAAACTGTTTGTAATTGTGGTAGTAGAGGAGTTCTCTGCATCTTACAGGTGTCTCAGAAAGGAGTAAGTACAGCCCATCTGCCTTGAAGGCTGACAGGTGGAGAACAATGTTAAAGCCTTCACATATAATGAGTTTTACTGGAGGAAAAAAAATGTCACTACCTTGAAGGGGGAACTAGTGCTCATTAAGAGAAGAAATAATAAAAGCATCTTAATCCTATGTCTGGGATTACCCTTGGTCTGGCAAAACCTCTTGTTTTGCCTGCAGCCACTGGAGCTGTGGCCTTTTACAGCAGGAGAGGATCCCACTCCTAGATTGTGGTTTTTTTCCCCTTTGTCCTTTTGCCTTCATTCAAATTATTTTGTGGCTTCCTTCCAAAACCAACTTTCTGTAGGACAAATTGCACAACTTAGTGATAGAGGTTAAAGCCATGACAGGGGCTGCTGTGGTTTGTGGTCTACGGTGTTTCAGCTACTGCAAAGGTTTCCTTCTTATGCAGAAGGTTGTATAAGGATACTAATGTGGCTTAATAAATACTTACCTAAACTCATGGCTTAACCTTATTTCTGGCATTCTGAAGCTACTAACTTGAAAGCATTGCTCCTGTTTAAATTTTGGTATGCTCCTGCCAAGAGAGCAGGATGGACGTGGCAAAGGTCTACAAAAATACAGTCCTCTTTGTGTTGTTTGTTTCTGTTTCTCATAAAATACATTCATGTGCGTTGTACACTTCCAACACATTGTCTTTCAACAAGGAAAGTGCTTGCTATGACTGCAACACAAAATGTGTGAATTTCTAATGCATTAATTGAAATTATTATATGGTTGGGGTTTTCTTCTTGGGTAATTCTGTTTCATGGTATTTTTCCATTATGGCAGTAGTACAGTAGAGTTCCTATTCCACCAAACATAGGGATAGGAAAAGGGCAAATAGAAAAATTAGTACTTTATTTTAACATACAGTAATATTTGAAGTGGGAGGTGCTTACGTTGTTTATTTTAGGTACATTTTTTTAAGCTGTTAAACTTTTTTATTTATTTGTAGCAAAATATGTGGATTCCAAATTAAGGGCTGGTAATAAAGAAGCAACAGATGAAGAGCTGGAAAGAATCCTTGACAAAATCATGATAATATTTAGATTCATTCATGGTAAGAAATACCAGTTCACATTTGATGCAATTGAAACTGTTTTCCTTCCTACTAGCAGAACTGCATTCCTCTGAATGCAAGAGATCTTTTCTGGCATGAGTTTCTGCTTGACTTGGTCTTAAATTCAGGTTGCCTTACATGTGAAGGAGCACAATAGATACAACAGGGAGAACAAACTTGTTATATGGAGTCTGGGAAGTTACAGAGCCTTTAGTGGAGACCTAAGAGCTAGAGCTGCTAGTGGAAATTGTTTTTTTCACATAGATTACGCATCTCTGTAGCCACAACCTCTCATTTAATGACTGAGAACAGAAAGGTTAGCACAGATTCTCTCTTCCCTGCCTACTTCAGTAAGTTGTAGGTGCAAAGTACATGAAAACCCAGCAACTAATCCTGTCTCTTCTCACTGTGCTGGAGAAGGGCTTAGAATGATAAGGGAAAATGTTATTTCTGTGTTTTACTTCCTGTGAAATACACTTCCCTAATGTATTTGTCTATCTGAGCAAAACTCTTGAATGTATTAGGCTATTTTATTTATTTATTTATTTTGCTAGGTTGGGTATCAGAAAAAAAATATGTGGTTGTGTCCAGCAGGGATATATGGTCACTGTTTTGAGGGAAGTGGGACATGTATGCTGGGCTGGGGCAGGAACTACCCAGTTCTGTATTAGTTTGTTTCGAGATCTGTGTGATTCTTTCCTCATAAAATCCAAAAGAAGTGCAATATTGTGGGACAAGAAGCCAGTTATGAAGTAGTAGAATTTGCATCATTATTTTTGTCAAATGCAAAGGATGGAGGCAGTGGATGAAGACAGCCTAAGAGATTAATTTCTGTTAATCTGAAACTTTGTCCAACTCTTGATCTTAATAATTTTTTTATAGCACTGAGATAGAATTGCAAATTTGGTTTGAAATATCTAGTGTGTAGGAGTCCTTTTAAGAGCAGATGATAACTAGCAGTTAGTTTCGGAGCACTGGCCTTTTCAACAGTACCTTGATGGTGTGTCATGACACAGCACTTTACCAGGAAAGGATGGAGTCTATCAGAGGTATTGCTACAGATGCATTGGAAGGTGTTAGGAATAGGGGGGTGCTGATGTAGGCAGCAGAAAGAGTGCCTTGAGTTACAGTGAATTTGTTCACCTTCAAGTGAAACAACTTGCTGATATCTTTGCACTACCAATAGAAAAGATTTGTGGAAACTGTGGTTTAAGGTGTGAAAGTTTGTGGGTGTCTGTATGAGATTTTTTTATTTCCAAAGGTTACTGCCAAATGCAGTGAGAAGAGTTTGGTCACCTTTTTTTCACCTCAGGCTTTTAAAGGTTATTTCTTTTAATACATAGGAACCATGTTCCTTTCTTTAATTGTAATTAATTAGACCACTGGAAGGAGAATGTTGTTCTGAACCCTAGAATCATTACATGTGGCTTACAGCTGATCCAATGGAAAACACAAGGCAGCTTATGTTCCTAAGGGGGAAAAAGGGAGTAGACATTTTGCAAAACGTGTTAAGAAAATAATTCACATATAAAAAGAACTAGTTGTCTATATGTTTTTCTTTGCTGTTGTATATTGAGTATTGTTCTGCTGATTAACACATCATGAGAAAGGCTTGTGTCACAAACCTGAAGTGCAGTAATGCATACAGAATGTATAATTTAATTTGTATTTTATTTTTTGGTTCAATTTCCATATAGGTAAAGATGTGTTTGAAGCATTTTATAAGAAAGACTTGGCCAAAAGATTGCTGGTTGGAAAAAGTGCCTCAGTAGATGCTGAGAAGTCCATGTTGTCCAAGCTGAAGCACGGTACGAGTCTCCAGATGTGTTCCATTTTTATTACTTTTTTGCATGTAAATTGGAATCCTTATTTTCTCATGCTTTAAAAAGTGAAAAGCCAGATTTTTAGTAACAGCTGAGCATATCCCAGCTTTCATTGTGCTCAGGAAGAGATACTGGGTTGACCTCTTATAAATGCAATTGGTTCATTTAGTGAATCTACAGAGGAGCAAAATCCTTAAAACATGTATCTACATGTGGGTGCTCTGGACCCTGGCAAATCTGGCTCAACTGTCTCAGGTTAAACCTTGATTGCTTGTTTTGTGCTTCCATGTAATTGTGGGATCTTTGCTCTAATTTGTGTGACAGAATGTGGCGCTGCTTTTACCAGCAAACTGGAAGGCATGTTCAAGGACATGGAACTGTCAAAAGATGTCATGGTTCAGTTTAAGCAGGTACATTTAGCTTCTGTTCGTGTACTAGATTTTCAGTAGTGATGGGGAAGTACTTAATGGTGTTATTCTTTGGATTAAGCTAAAATTAAACAAAAAAGCTTTTGAGCAGGACCTAGTCATACTAAGAGAGTCTATTTATAGTTCTGTGTGCAGAACATAATTTATTTATTGTATATCAATTCAGATATAATCTTATTTTACAGTTTTATTCCTTTAAAGTAAATTTTAGTCTAAATACCACATGGTAATTTAGTTGTTCTACATGCTTTAAAGTCCATACTTCTTCATTCTGTAAACCATTGTTTCTCTGATGAAAAACTCTGAGAAAAACTCTGGTGTGGGTTGCTAAGTGCATAGAAACCATATATGTGTCAGCCCCAAAACTTCCAACCTGACAATGACCAAGGGATTGCTTGAAGGAAATACTGTATAGCTTGCCCTGTTGTTGCACTTCCCCCCTGTTTTGGAGCCTTGTTGAAGAGGGGATACTGGGGGAGAAATCTGGCCCAGGACACCTGCTCCTCTAATAAAATACTCTATAGACTTTCTGTCCTGGACTTTGCAGCCTGGCTGGGCTGATGCAAGGCTCAAATCATAAGAAAATGTGTCGTCTAACCCATGTGTGGAAGTCCCAGGGGATCCTTTTGATCTTATAGTTCTTACCCTGACTTCTGATCAAAAGCTTCTCTTTTGTTTTATTTGCATATGATTGAAGTTCCTTTGACCTTAATACCCTATAAAGACAGTGGTCTAGGATACTTCAAGGCAAGTTGTACTTTTCTTTTTACTTCCAACCTCTTGCAGCATTTTGAAACTGGGGATGGGAAAAATTAATAGTAATGAAATTCAAAATCTTGGTAGAGTATGTCTAACCAAGGATATGGCCTTCAGAAAATTTTCATTATTCTACCAAGTTTAAATTTATGATTTAAATATATATATATTTTCTAACTTAACATGCAAATAGTATACTTGAATGGTATTTTTTTTATTTTATTTTAGTATATGCAGAACCAAAGTGACCCAGGAAATATAGACCTGACAGTAAATATATTAACTATGGGATATTGGCCAACATATACTCCTATGGAAGTCCACTTAAACTCAGAGGTTAGTGTTTGAATTCCCCTTCTAAATGTACTTTATGGAGTGGAATCAGAGTCACTCTCATAGGGTGAAGTAATGCTTTCATTTAATGTTTTTTCTGCTAGATATTTAATAAGTTTTAACTCATGTTAAAGATTCCAGATTTGCAAAAAAATGTACTGGATAAAACCCAGTTATTTGCAGTGACTGTATAATAATAATCATAGTAATATAATAATCATAATCTCAAATTAGTATTAAAATTAAATCAGTGTTGTATTTAACATTGCAGCCAAGCACTTAGAAGTTTAAAACTTGACAGTGCACCTTAATTTAGTCAATCTTTAACTACACTGGTTAAGCATTTTGATCAAGCCAATAGTTGTGTTACTGCATGTTCTTTTTTCTGTATGATCCTTCCTCTGTTCCCTGCAATGTGTCTCACAAAACTACTCCCTGCATTTAAATGAGGTTTCCCCGAGAAGAGATTGTTTCCAAGTTGAGAGGATTTTGCAAAGCTCCTGTGAATAACGATTTAAGTTGAAACATGGAGTCCTGTTTCATGCAATACCTTGTTTGATCTGAAATATGGGCAGCACTTCAGAGGCCAAAGACAGCAATAAGGTTCCAAATCAGTTCAGGAGATGTGGAAGCTTTTGTGCTCTTGCTCCAGTGGCATCTTTTCCTCAGTAACAGGCTACTTTGGAAGGATCCAACCTGAGCAGCATGTCATGAAAATAGAAGGGTAAAAACCCCTTATTTGGAAATAAGAGAGTATGAAGTACTGGATTCACACTTTAATCTGTATAGGAGAAACTAAAGGAAGAACTTGGAAGCAGATGGTAATAGTCAGTATGTAGGTGTTAGATTTATGCTTTTTGTCCTGTGGTTTCTTGGTCAGATTCAAAGTCCAGGACAAAATCAGTATTTATTTCTTAGTTTTAAAAACTTATACAGGGAGATTGTTTTTCTTTTTTTTTGTAAACAAATAGACCCAAAAAGGGGGATGGAGGGAGGGGAATTAAAAGCTATACTTGAACTGAGGCTTATAGTATACTGTGCATAGCAGTACTGGTGTACTTGAGAGCAGAATTTTGCTCTTTGGATTTAGGTTTTTACAGAAAAACACTTCATAAGAAATGTTGTTGAGGAGAAATAAAGAAATGATGTGCGAAATCATACAGCATCACCTCACTGGTATAACACAAATAAACTTCTTTCCCTCTTTGCTTGACAGATGATAAAGCTTCAAGAGGTATTTAAAACCTTTTACCTGGGAAAACACAGTGGTCGAAAGCTTCAGTGGCAGACCACTTTGGGGCACGCTGTCCTAAAGGCAGAATTTAAGGAAGTAAGTTTGCTTGTTTCATGCTTAGCCCATTTGGATAAAATTTGAGTCAGTTACTTGGAATGTAGTAATGTATGGAATTATTTATTTTTATAAAGGTGCTAACATTTTTTTGGAGAAACAATCAAATTCTATACTGTTATTTTGTATAGAAAGTAGGCTTTTTATAATGAAACTGAAATACTACCTAGCTAATGGAAGACAACAGTGAGATGCCTTTTGGTAACATTTGTATTTTTGTGATAGGAATTGTTGCTCATTCAAAGAAAGAAAGTTGTAATAAAGCAGGAAATGAAAGGGAAAAAACACAGCATCTTCTTATTTTTTATATGGAATTGTTTTGGAAATGCTGGTGACAGAGTGCTTTGCTGATGCAAAAAGAGGCTGAAAGGTGTTAGTGATATAATGACTGTGGTTAAAATTTAAATGTTTGTTGAATTACTTAAGTCTTAAATAACCACATTGTTTCTTAATGTGGTTTGGTTTTGTTTCATGGAATATCTTGCTAATAATGCAGCTTAATTGAGCCAGAGCAAAGACCCAAAAAAACCTCCAAATGATTCTTTCATAGTCACAATGAATTAGTAAAACCTAGAGGTTTGGGCACCATGGAACAGTGAGATGGATGGGTTTGTCATCCATTGACAGAAGTGTTTACAGCTGTCTGAAGACTTTGAGTTCTTTCCTTTTCATTGCCTGTTTGTGCAAACATTCTGCTACTGGCATTACTGTCACTCTGTATCACAGTAAAGAATTATCTTTTGTTTCTTTCATATTTGATCCAATGCCAATAATTCTTTTGTGTTTGCTCATCTCTATAAAGTGAAACTTGGGTGAAGTATGAAGAGATTCGCTATTGATGGTGGCAAAGCCAGAATTTCACATATTGTAGTTGAAATGAAGTAAATTATGTAAAGTAAATATAAGCCCATTCTAATGAGCTTCTGCTGTGTGCTGCATTGCTACTGCTGGAGGAGCTAAAAAAGAGGTTTTAAAAATATCCTTTTTCCTTGATACTGCAGTCAGGCAGATTCTTCTGTGTGCTAGGCATTCTAAAATGCACATCTATTCCTCTAGAAATAGGAAAAAAAAGTATTGTTTTGTTTCTGTTACTCGTCAGATTTGGATAATACAATAGAATATGCTCTGAATATTGTAATTATTTGATGTTTCTTTTTCAGGGAAAGAAAGAATTTCAAGTGTCGCTCTTTCAGACTTTAGTGTTGCTTATGTTTAATGAAGGAGATGAATTCAGTTTTGAAGAAATAAAAATGGCCACTGGTGTAGGTAAGAAGAATACTTATTCTTAAATGTATTCATTGAGTGATTGCCAATTATAATTTGGTTTGTAAAGGCTCAGTTTGAAGACATTTGCCACAATCATAAGGAAAAACTGTATGAGCCAATCATATATAGACACCAAAACAGATAAGGAAAATGTGCTGCTGGTACTTCTTAGTGTAGGTAAAACAGATACTTAATAAAATTAATAGTAACAGCTATGTGGTGTATGATACTACTACTAGATTTACAGAGTCCAACGTTGCAATTCTTAAAATTCAAGTCGTGATAAAGATTCTTTTGTGTATAGATTATTTTTGTTCTATTGCAGTTACAAATACTGTATTTTGAAAAAGATCTTTTGTAGAATGGTCTCATTTGGGGGTGATTCAAAAGAGTATTCTCATTTGAGTAGTACTGAGAGCTTGCCCACCTGTTTTCCATGACTGCTGCAGAAGTGCCCCGTTCACAGTAGATCTGATTTGTTAGGAAGAGCAGTATCCTTTAGGGTGTATACTTTGTAGCTGTCTCCCCATGCACTTGAAACCTGAAGGCAGAAAGGACAAAGAAAACCGGGGAAAAGTACAGTTTTCGTTTTAGCCATCTGTGGTATCTACTGTCTGTGTTCTTAAGCTCTTTCGTGATTTCTTTTTAATTTTTACACTTCCTTGAAGTAGAGCCACTGGCATTAAAGAAGATAATGTTATAATCTTTTTACTCTCTGGAATTTCTGCATCAACCAGCAGGTCATACCCAGTAGCCCTTCACATGCTGAATCTTAAGATCAACAAAATACAGCAACTGCTGAAAAAGTATTTGTGTATGCAAGTACTAAAATACTGTAAATATGTTTACTAAAGTATTGGAAAATAGGAATATCAAGAACCCCTGTGGCAGAATGATGCACGGCAGAAGGCAGTACAGCCTGGGTGCTCCAACTTCTCAGCCTCAAATCTTCGGATTGCTTAGTCACCCACTCCATTAATGTGAAGAGAGCTGAAGAAAACTCATGCCCATGTGAATAATAAGCACCAGGATGGTCCAGAGGGGATCATTAGGTTGGAGTACAATGGTTACAGGCCAAAGAAAAGTTCACGCAAGCCTGCTACAGATTCTGCTTTCTCATCTTTTATTGCTATACCTCAGAGCTTGAATTCTGGCTGCCTGACAGCAACAGATAAGATCTGCTGAATGGAAATCCATTCCATTAGAGCACAACAGAAAGGATTTCAGTAGACTGCTTTTAAGTCAGCTGGATAGGACTGATTGATAATTGGGAGCTATCTATATTACGTTATCTCATTGCACTGAATGCCACATCTCTCTTTCTCTCCCCTGTAGGGAAATAGTGGAGGAATGCAGGTAATGAGGACAGTTCATGGTCCATGGGGTCCCTGTGGGTCCAGGATGGATGACATAAAATCTGTGTCTTCCCAGGCTGTGCCTGGGAGCATTTGAAACTGCTTTGGAGAGGTTCCCATTCCCATCTAGCAGTCTTTCTGTTTCTAAAGGAGAGGAAACTTATGGCCAGAAATGGTCTTGGAAATAGGTCCCACACAGCACCCTTTATGCCTCCTGCTACATAGAATCATAGAATGTATTGGCTTGAAGGGACCTCTAAAGGTCATCTAGTCCAACCCCCCTACAAGAAGTGGGGACATCTCCAACTAGACCAGATTGCTCAGAGCTCCATCAAGCCTGACCTCGAATGTCTCCAAGGATGGGGCCTCCACCACCTCTCTAGGTGTTCCAGTTCCAGTGATCAATCATCCTTATATGAAAGAACTTTTTCCTAATGTCTAACCTAAATCTACCCTTCTCTATCTTGAAACCATTACCCCTTTTCCTACTGTTACATGCACTTGTGAATAGGTCTTCCCCAGCCTTCTTACACAGATGATCCTTTTACTCAGCAGTACCCTCCAAAGGCTGGTATCCTGGCTAGTTGGAAAAGAACAGACATCCAGTTATTAGAAAAAGTAGCTGAATTTGTGATGCAGCTGTTTGCTGAATTGAACTCTAAGGGCAGAGGTCCCAACAGCCAGACTCTCAGAGAGCTATCTGGGTGAACCAGAGTTCCTGGCTTATGGATACATATAACATTGAATGTGGCAGAAATCCTGGAAGGAAAACCTTTGCCATTAGGATTGCCACAGAAACTGTTTCTAGCTGTTCCAAACACCCTGTGTGGGGCTAGGCAGGCGGAATTCCAATGTACACTTGAAAAAAAAAATGTATGGAAGAGAGCAGATTTATTAGGAAGTAGGAAAGCCTTTGAAATAGGGGGAACCTGTACAAGACCGATGGGCTCAATCTAAAGCTGCTGAAACACTAAAAATGTTTTAGAAAGTCAGTAGGGTTTATCGGACTTCTCCCTCCACTATCTATAAATAACATAGTAGACCCAAGAAGAGGTCAGAATGGAAATAAAAATAGAGGCCATGGGACAGATAAGTGTGCTAGGATTAAACTAAATAGACTAAAAAGGTAAACAGAAAACTAAACAGCATGTTGTAAAGGCTGGAAGTTTACAGAATCCTTGGAGACAGGTTCAAGAAAAGCAAAACACTGAAGGTTTCTCAATGCACAGAAACCACCTCTGGCTAAGGAAGTCCCTGAGCCCTAAATTACTGGAAATTTAAAGAGCAGTAGGATGAGGAGAGGAGGAAGAGTAGGGAAATATAGAGCTATATTAGCTTTGTTTTTACATACTGCCCTATACTCACCTGCTCGTGGCCACTGCCAGAGATGGGATGCTAGGCTAGATAGACCTTCTGACTCAGGGCACATGTTCTTCAGTTCTAAACAGAGCACTGAAAAGGACACTGAACCTCCCAGCTGTGAAGGATTGCTTTACTTTCATGTTCACATGTGCCAGCTCATTCTGGGGGGTGGTGGAAGCTTTGTGCACCTTTTATTTAACTAACATGTATGTTGAGACCCTATTATGAGATGTTACCCAGTCTTTGCACATTGGTGTTCACTGCAGAAGAGCATAGCCAGCCACCCCCATTCAATAGGGCAAAATAAAATACTGCAAGTGGAAGGGTCAATAAAGGGTCTAGAACAGGTCAGTAAATTAGACCACCACCAACTGGTCATATTCATCCAGAAGCTTTACAGGAGCTTTCCAGTATAAATACTGAATTAGTTTGTGTAGTTTATAATTTAAGTGAGCTTTGATGTGATAAGAATGGCAAGTGACAAGAGCAATGCTATTTTTATTATTATTTTTTAAGGTCATGGAGTAATTCTGCAGATTACTGCAGGGTAGCAGGTCTGTATTGGGAAGATCAGAACTGGTAGGCTCATGGATAACTGTATATTAGGGAAGAGCCAGCACAATTTATATGATGCATAATTTCCCTTTCAAGTTATTTGAGGAAGTTGGAAAGCATATGCACAACTGTAATTGTGCACTTGGGTTTTAAAAAGTTCTGGATAACAGCTCCTCACAAGCTCTAAAATAAACTAAGTTTTCATGGCTTGAGAGAGGAGTTCCTCTTGGAATGACTAATTAATTAAAAGACTGAAAATAACAGGTAGAAATGTATGGGCAACTTTCATAGTGAAAGGAAGCTCCTATTTGGATTCCCAGGTATTATTCAATATAGTCATTAAGGATCTGAAGAAGATGAATACTGATGTGACAGAATTTGATACTGATTCCTTAGGAAGGTCAAATCTGAAACTTATTAAAAAATTTAAAAAGGATATAACACTTTTCAACACTTAGGAGATAAATCACATCCAATGTTGATGGGTATAAGGATGTCTGTAGTGAGGAAATAACCTTAGCCACATCAGCCATTGGCTTTGTTAGATAACAACCACTGGAGAAAGAAGTTGTGTGGTCAATGTGTCCCTTGAAAACACCCAACTGGAGGTTTCATCAGCTATCAGAGGGCAAATGGCATGCTGGTAACTTGTAGGGAAGTTACTGAGAACAAACAGAAAGCTTTGTTGTGCTTTGTGTGTGCTTGTGTTTGGATACTTCATGAATTTCAGGTTATCCTATCTAAAAGTGTATAGTAGAATTAAATAAGGACAAAGAAAGATTAAAAAAAAACATATGGATGCCATTGAATGGTTCCCATGCAGAGAATGGAGAGTTCATCTCTTAAACTTGGAGCATGATAGTATGGAGAGAGGTGAAAAAAAGGAAATACAATAGTCTATAGGATTATGAATGGCTTAAGATATAATGAACAGTGAATTCAGTAACCCTCACAGTAAAAGAATTCAGGCATCTTTTAGCTTCTCCATCTGTGACTAGCCAAGTCAAAGGCAGACATTTTAATCTGATCCATATAACAAACAGTGTTGTTCTCCACTGAAGCCGAGTTAGCTGCCTAAGATTAATGGCAGGTCTTAAAGCACTAATTCTCAAACACCAACTCACTGAGTCAGCCCCCAATTTCTTGCATGTACATGGACTTATTTTTTTTTTTCATTGAGGGCACTATGAAGGTGATAATAAGTTAAGTTCTGCTTATTTGATGTTTTCCTGTGGATGACTTAATATATATATAAGCATCATGAATAGTGTACTGGAATTAGGTATGAAGCATTTGGGATTTTCCAGTGTTATATTGGCAAGTTCAGTACTCTCCTGTGGATGCAGCTTTAGTAGTGCTTCTGTGGGGGCTTCCTGAGGTCTATTGGTCATGTCTTCCTAGCTCCCAGCTGACTACAATGGAATGTAGTGACAGTCATTTGTTTCACTCAAGAGTCATACTGCAGTTAATATAAAGAAGTGACCAGTCAGTATGGCAGAAACCAGTAAGATACTATGATGTAAAACTTTCAGTCACTTAAGGAAGTGATTTCACAAAATAAAACCTTGCAATTTGTGTTTAGTGCTGCACTTGGCAGGATACTTTACAGAGGTGAATATGATATATTCTGTGGTTCTGCTGTCCAGGCACTCATTTATGCAGGTGCAGTATTAGCTACATTGCTGTGTTTATAGTATTACAAATTAGTTTTGTAAATGTCTTGCAATTAAAGTAAGCAGGTATCTGGATATCAAAACCCTTGGATATTAAAACAGTCTGGGCAGCTGGTCTCTGTGCATGTTAGACTTTCTGTTGTATCTTTACATTCCATTGCCACCTAGCACAACATACGTACACTTTGGGAGGTCAGAAAATCTCACTCACATGAATTTTCTTAATGTTAACTAGAAGAGTACTTCATGAGTGATTGCTACATTACTAAAAACAAAACATAGCAAAGACCAAACAAAAAAACCCCAACAACAACAACCAAACAAAAAAACCAAACAAAACATCCCATGGATTTCTGCCCCCTTAGGTTTTCACTCTCTTCATCTGCATTAACTGGTGTAGTTGGCACTTATGTTTTACAGTCAGTGTTACAATAAATTATCTCCATGCTCTTCAAAGACATGAGGTTGTCCCTGGGACATGACTGCAGTCAGCAAGTGCATAAACTGTCACTCAGAGAAAGAATGGTTACCTTCCCTTTGGTCACTGTACTTCTGAGATGTGTTGTCTAAATACACTCCTATGTTTTTACCTGCCTTTCTCATTATCAAGAAAGCCTCTAGGAGCTGTAGTTTTTACTTCAGGGAGGGATTGGTAATTGCATATTCCTTCCCTTTGCCATACTGCCATAACCTGCAATTTACCATGCAGGGCATGTCCTTTGGACAAAACCATAACCCAGCAACCTGCATTTATTGAAGGTGAAACACCCAAACAGTGTGAAACATCATAAATACCTATTTTGTCAATGCAGTTTAAAGGGTTGTTTTCATAATCATAGAGCAGCTGGAAACTTAACAAAAGGAAAAGGTCCATCTGTCTGAAAGTTAAAATGTTTTAGAAAAAGTAATAGTGTCAGTCGTGTACTCAGCTACACTGCACTTCAGTACTGGACTGCAAAACCTTTCTTTCAATTTTTACACTAAAACTCTGTTCAGGAGAGTTCTGGAGACTGCAGAAGCAGTTTTAATGCAAAATCTTGATAAAAGACTTTGAACCTAATTATTAGAATGTTCTAGACTTCATTTTATCTGTTTGTCCAATTTGTCCAAAGCTTTCAGCTTTAAATTGTACTAGATAAAATTTTCCTGATCCACTTGTTTTTGTGACTTAAAGCTTGAAGGCTCTAAGTTGTTACCTAACCTAATTGGAACTTAGCTGAAAGAAGGTACTAATGTAAAACCAGTAACTTTTTAATTGTATTTCTAAATTAATCACATAAAACTCTTTATGTTAATCTTCTGCTTTCTCCCATACTTTGAACTTCACAGAGGACAGTGAATTAAGAAGAACCTTGCAGTCTTTAGCTTGTGGAAAAGCACGAGTATTGATTAAAAATCCAAAGGGCAAGGATGTAGAAGATGGAGATAAATTCATCTTTAATGGTGATTTCAAGCATAAATTGTTCAGAATAAAGATCAACCAAATTCAAATGAAAGAAACAGTATGTATTTATTTTTTTATTCATTCTGTTCATATTAACTATTTATTTGTGTGTCCCACAGAAAGAGACAGAATCTATGTATTTCCTCTCGTAGTTTTTGCGTATAGAGAAAGGAAATAGATCTTTAACTTTCTTGGTAGTCTGGATGACTAACAGAGGTAATAAAGATTTTAAAACTCACTGAAATCAAAAGAACTTAGGTTCCTTCCTGTGCTGGAAAGTTTAAATGCCTGTATTTTAAACTGATAGGATCTTGTAAATGTTTCAGTCCATCTTACAAGTTTTCGTGGGATGGCTGAAGTATTGGTACTGTATTGAACTCATGAATCAAATGTCACCCTATCACTTCCTTATTTAGCAAGTAAGGGAGCTATTAAAGTCAGAGTTTTCCCTATTTTTGCAGTGTATGTCTTTGTTATACTTGAATCCCTATTCTTGAGACCTGGTGACATGTTTTAATTAACACTGACTTGCTTTTCTTTTTGTTTTGCATATTAAAATCCCTAAAAGTAAAATTGGAGTTGAGCAGTTTGATACAGAAGGCTGTATTTGGGCTATTATGTGTTCTCTCAAAAACCTGAAGTGAGCTTTTAAGACTGTTTAGTTTATCAGATTTAAAATAAGACAGAGGTTATTTTTTTATTTACATCGTCCTTTATCTTTGGCTTGCTTTATCAGTATGTTTCAGAGTTACTGTGTTCTTAGCATGCAGTAATGCATACATCTGTCTCAAAGATTAAGAAGATGTTGAGTTTCATTTCATTGGAAAAGCTAACTATAGAAATATAATTGTTAAAAGTAGCAATAAAAGGTGATATGATTTGTGTCGTTTTATCATTCCTTAGGTTGAGGAACAGGTCAGCACAACTGAAAGGGTCTTTCAAGACAGACAGTATCAGATTGACGCTGCTATTGTACGAATAATGAAGATGAGGAAGACTCTTGGTCATAATCTCCTTGTTTCTGAATTGTATAATCAACTGAAATTTCCTGTAAAGGTAATTGGTTTTAGTTTTCAAACCATCCTAGGATTATAAAAAATTCTGTAATATATTTTTCCGTTCCAATGGGTCCATAAGAGTAAGAAATGTGAAATATGTCCTGAATCAAATCCAAATGTTAAGGTATTAAAATGAGGGTGTGAACAGAAATAAGCCAGAGTATCAGTAAGAAATTATGTTTGGATACTTACTATGGCACATTTTCACATATATAGCTGTTACCAGTCCTACTTTAAAAAAATGTAATACAGATCTGAATACATTTTTAACTGTTTTACTAATCTCATGTTTTCTTGTAGCCTGGAGACTTGAAAAAGAGGATTGAATCTCTCATTGACAGAGACTATATGGAGAGAGACAAAGACAATCCCAACCAGTACCACTATGTTGCATAATGGAAATACTTTTACTTAAAAAAAACAAAAATTAAATCCCAGAAAACAAAAACCAAAATCATCCACATGTATCTTCAGGACACCGAATACTTATGCTGTTCCAGACTTTCCTTTTAGCAGATTTCAGGTTGATGTATATTATTCAACCAGCTGCATGCACTGCTGTGGAAAAGCAAAATGACATGTTAATTGATCGTCCTTGTGAAGACTCCTTACAAATGTTAAATGTCATATTTTTATTTTCTTCTAGTTACTCTTTTGTTCTTTTGAGTTCTTAAAAATCTAGTTTTACAGTTTTGTATAACACTGTCATTGATGTTGGATGGAAGTCAAAATTACCTGTGTGAGAAATACTTCTGTGATGGATGCGAGTCTGGCTTCTTCATTTATGTGCTCCTAACTGCATCCATAAAGACCCTGTATGCTGCATTCTTTAGCTACAGTGACAACTTGGGTCACTTGTCACAACTTTTTAAAAACGCTTAATTGATGAACACTTATGTACAAGCAGTGTTGTTGAAATACACTGAATTTTTGAAATTTTGCACCATGAATACCCTTAAACTTGTGTTCAGTTAATTTGTTTTCAAATTATTATGAACTTCAGTCTGGTTTGGATAAATCAGGTTTTGAAGTGAGATCCTTGAAGTGCCAAGAGGACAACTGCGTTCATGTGTGTAGTGAGTTTTTGGATTATTTAGCTAAGATATGGATTATTATTTTATTACTACTTCTACTGGCTTGGGTAGCAAAGATCTGAGTCAAAGAGGCCCTACCTCATTTTAGGGCAGCCGGTGTTTATCACTGTTTATGTAATTGCCGTAACATTTAGTTTTGCCTTTAAAGTAACATACAAGGAAGGAACCTACTGTACAGTGTGCTCCACTTTCAGAAAACAAAAACCTTTTTTAAAAAAAGACTAAATATTGTGAAAGCATAGCATTTTTTTTGTTTGTCTTGAAAGACTAAGGATTTTGTGAGTACTTTGTTACATACTGTATATATATGTAAGTTGATTTGAATTCAAGAGTGAAAGACACTGTAGATCTGTTTGATAATTGTAACTATATGGAAGACAACTTTTGTGGTAATACAAGACTGTTTATTTTCTGGATTTGCATACTGGTGTGTTCCATTCTGAAAAAGAGCTACCAAAGGAGTTTTGATCACGACATAAATGAGAATTTAACTGAGCAATATTTTCTTGAGAGATACTTTAATAAGTTTGTCATATGGGTTTTGTGCTTGAGTTAAAAGGCCACCACCTCTTCTTAAAGTAAACATTGCTAAGAGTTGACATCTTGTGGATTTACATATTGAAGTCCTTGTTCTGTCATCTGGTGTAATTAAATGTATTGCATTCTTCCGAATTATTTTTGTTCCCTTTGTGTTTAGAAACTAAACACATTTAGTTTATTGTATTTAAAATATATTTAATATTGTAATTTAATGTAGACTTATTTTAATATTTGAATCTTCAGTTAATGCAAATAAAATCTTTGATGCATAATAATTTCTTAGCCATTGTGAGAATGTGGCATTTCCGTGTGGTGTGTTCTTTAGTGTTAATTATTCCATTTACCTTGTAATTCACTTTCCATGCATATGGAAGCTGATCAGATGCATCATACTAGACTTTTAAAACAATGCCTCACAGACATGTAATGGGCAGAGGCTTTATCCACACAGAAGCTTGGCAGTAGTATGCAGTAATTGATAGGGAGCAGTGAATGTGAACTGTCTTCCCTTTTGGAACCCAAACTTCCCGGTTCATTGGTTTTGAACAATGGATTAAAAGCAGTGGTATTATCCTGGAGATGATTGAAAAGGTTCTGCCTTTAAGAAGCAATGTTAATTGATTAAAAATGCTGAGATGTGCAGTTTTTTCTTAATTGACATAGACTTCAACTGTCCAAATTACTCTGGTATAGCAATTAAAAAAGCAGTGGAAATAATGAAGCCTGTGATGTCTGCCTTTGTCCCCTTCTCTCCCACATCCCCCAAATAACCTCAAGCAGCATGTACTGCAGAGGGCTTTTCTGCTTAGTTCTGCCTTTCCTCTCTATCCCAGCTGTGGATCTCCACCCACCCCCTCACCCCATAAAACTACACAGAATGTAACATTCAATCTCTGAAGATTTCTAGTCTTCCAAAGGGGTCTGAAAGTGGCTTTAGAGGATCAAAAACTACAAAAGAGATCAAAAGGCCAGGTGATAGTGACTCTTTTTCTCAGGTCCTCATTTTTAATTTCATTTCCTCAAATTTCTCTTCCTGAGATTTTGTATGTGCTGAACCAAACAGGTAAGCAGTTAGTTTATTAGTCAGCATGGTAAGCACTTCATAGAAAAATAGCTGCATGTTATTTTTTATAAATGGTTATGGAATTCAGCTGAGCAACCAGGGCCAGTTGTTGGTTTGATGCCAGCTATTTGGCTCACATTGCCCCCTGTGCTAGTATTTGTGCCCACAGGGCAGAGCATGCTGAACATTTCTTCCTGGAAGATCACCCAGTGCTGAAGTTGTCAGGCTGTAGCAAGTAACAGATTTCCTCTGAAGTGCACCTATGTTCAGAAGATGGCTTGAAAATCTGGATCTTGGCAATTCAGTGTCCTTGGAACAAGTTGTGTAGCAGCTTCTAAGGAATGACAAAAAGAACAACAGGCATCTGGGATACAGGTGGGGGCTCTCTCCAATCTTACCACAATCTCCCCCTTTAATTCAGTCTGACTTACTCATCCAGACATATGTTACATGTATTTAAAAAGCAATTGTCCTGACTGTGGCACCCTGTCATCTAGGCCAACATTTTCTGAGGGAAAGCAAGTGTGAGGATGCAGGTTGATGGCTGACTCACAGGCACTTCCCACATCTGGCAATTACACCTCTCCTTACCAGCCACCAACAGCCTCCTTCCTGCCCACTCCTTGTGTCCTGTTTTCTTACATCTGTGTATTAGCTTCCCTTGTATTCCTTTATGGGAACCTAGGTTTACCATTCAATTCCCTTGGTCTGCTGAAGCTTCTCCCTTCCTTTCCTTGTGCTATACATCTTTGAAAAAAAAAATTCCACACCTTCCAGGCAACTCTAGTGCATTAATCTGTTATGCAGATAGATCTAGTTGTATATTTACAATCTTCAACAGGTGTGTTAGGGAGAGTGGACTCCGTACTTCCACCTTCGTTATCTATTCCTAGCATGTCTCTTCAGAAATAAAATAACCCAGTGAGGTCACATAATTTGCAGCAAAAGGCTACAGGAAAAATTGAGTCATGTTTCATGGGAAGTCTTCCCTGGTAAAAATTCCCAGCCTGTACTCTATCTCCCATGCAAGTATTGTGCCCCAACTTTGCAGAACAGTTTGGACTGTAGTAACGGCTCTTTGATTTTGTGGGTACTTCCCATGTTCTTTCCCATAAGCAGCCACTCTGCACCCATGGTTCTGCAGGGCCAGGAGTTGTACCCTGGTTAATCTGGAACTCGCTGCAAATTGCTTGGATAGTGGCTCTGTCAAACAAAACACATGGGGGCTGGGTATTTCCATTGGTGATGGCACTGACTTGGATCTCCACACTGTCTATCTATATTCTAGCTTTTACAGAAGCTGTAGCTTCCTGTTTGTTTGTCTCACCCTACCATCAAATTTGTTTTGATGTTGGCCAGCAAGTTATTGAGCAGTGAGGCTGATGGCCAACATGGTTGTGTAAGAACTGTTCCATTAGGAAATGCTCACAAACACACTGGTGATAATTCTGCTGGCAACAACATGGAAATTGGCTACTGTGCAGTGTCTACACCACTGTGAAAGGCTTAGTAAGCTAATGATCCAGAGCATCTAAGATCAATATAATTCTCTGCTGATGGCCTTATGTTCTTGCCAATATGCCACAATATTGTTGCTTGATGCAATTTATATACTGATACTAATTGGTAGTTACCCAAGTATCTGTTATTTTTCAATTCATAGATGCCTACCAGTTTTCCAGAAGGGCAGACTACTGCACAGCAAGTTTAAACCTTACATTGGGCATCCCCCTCTTATTTTGTTTTCTGGCAGACTTCAAGTATCCCACAGATCTTCCTCCACTCCCAGTGCAGGTTCCAAAAACAGTGATCAAAAAATGAGAACCACCAATGTCCCACCTCTGTTAACCTCAACTCGTCTGCAGATGACTCATTCAAACAGTTGACCCGAGCTGTTTCCTATGTACTTTTTCAAGCTAACTTCTGCTTTTGGCCACACATGGCAAGAATAAAGATTGCTAGAAGTGCTGCAGGAAAAAAAAGCAGACTAAAATAAAACATTGCCATCTCTAAAAAATGCACAGATAAATATGCAGCATCAAGAAAGCAATGCCTGTAGCAATACCACAGAAAAAGGCAGATCCCCAAGCCATTCTGGAGAGCAACTAACTTTTAGGATGTTTTTGGGAAACAGGAAGCGCAAGTGAACTGAGACAAGCACCAGGGAAAGGTCATCAGGTTTAGAGTAGCTGGACTTGACTTTAGCAGCTGGCAGCAGCTAAATTGCATTACAAATCAATTCTAACTAAAAACGTATGAAGGCAGCTTAGGAGCATAAATGCTTCTGTCCCAGAGCTGAGTAATCTGGAGATGAGGACAAGGAGATGGATGACACGGCAGTCATTTTGAGAAAGCAGAAGGACTTTGCAATTGGCACGCTTTCCAACAATACTAGAAACAGGATTTCAGTAGCAAAACAAGTACTTCTGAGGTTACAGATGAAGAAAGAATATCCTTTCCAGCTTTGATAAGAAAGAGCATTGAATTGCAAAGTGACCAAGTGGTCTGGGCTCCCCACCTACATTCCAGAATGTTGACAGAGTAGCTCAACCTCTTATTTTTCTTAAATAAATAAAATATTAAAATGCTTGTTTATAAGAACATTAAGCAACATTAGAAGCTACGCGAAGGTGCAATTAACTTCAACCACGCAAGCACAAGTCACTGGCGGGCCCCGCTTTGGCTCGGAACACACCACT